ATTCGTCGCACAGCTCGCAGAGCTTGAGGCAATCGTCGAAATAGGCGTCCGCCGGGCGCTGATCCGGCCCCACGCACGGAAAGAATTGTATCCCGAATTCCATGACCGTCGATCCGCTCCCCTTCGGTTTCCCTTTGCCGCGCTTGTCCCGAGTGAGGCAGTGGCCCGAGCACGGGCGGGTTTGAAACCCGCCCCTACATTTCCCCATCGGGCTCGGGGTCATCTATTTTGTGCTGACATGACGTCGGCGGCGGCCAGATCCTCGCCGACCCGGTGGAACGGCCGGCCCGAATCGCTGACTCGCCAGGACCACCACGATCTCGTCGGCGCGCGGGGCGTCGGCGACGGAGACCTGCATGGCGTCGAATTGGCTGAACTTCCAGACGTCGTCCTTGTGGTGCAGCGGGCAATCGATGACCGTCCCCGGCCCGCCGATCTTCTTGGTCGAGGGCATGACCGAGCTCGCCGGCCCGACGACCTCACGCACCGGCCGGCCCAGCCGGGGATGCATCACCGCGGCGGCATGCTCCTTCTCGCCCTTCTCGCCGACGATCGCCGCCTTGCCGTAGCTGTGGACGGCCGCCCCGTCGATCCCAAGCGCATCGATGGCGCGTTGAACCAGCAGGCCGCCTAGTTCCGCCCCTGCCTTCTGCAACTCTTCGAGCTCCTCGTCATAGACCCCGGCATAGGGGTTGGCGATCACCGCGATCGCCGCGGCCTGCCGCGTCGCAGGCTCGACCGGCCGGCCGAGTTCGCGCCGGGTCTCCTCGACAATGGTGATGAGCTTGCGGATCTCCATACGGCTTCCTCCTGGCCCCGACGGGCGTGACTCACTCAGGGCACTATGCCATCATCGATTCTTGTTGCAACACCCGCATGGTGGCGTCTGAAGAATCGCGGTTTGACAACGCGTCCCCCGATGGTGTTTCTTAGGGAACCCCGAGAAATCGGGCAGATACAGCGTTTTACGGACAGGAGGACCAGCATGAAAAAGTGGGTTGCCATCGCTTTGTTGCTCACTCTGGTGGCCTTTGCGCAATCGACCATCGTTGCGGCAGCGGACTTTCCGAAGAAGAACATCCAGATTATCGTGGCGGGATCGCCCGGCGGCGGGTTCGACCGGCTGGCCCGCGGCATCGGCAGGACCATGCGGAAATACCTGCCCAAGGGCGTCCATCTTGTGGTGAAGAACATCACCGGCGGCGGACTGGTCATCGGCACGGTGGCCATGTACAGGGCCAAACCGGACGGCTACACGCTGGGGCACCTGTTCACCGACGGCATGCTCGGGAAGCAGTTGATCAGCGGCGTCGCGAAGACCGGCTACGACGTCACCAAGTTCACCTACATCGCGCGGGTCGGAGCCGAGCCCTATAGCCTCATCGTCGGCAAGAACTCCCGGTTCCATACGCTGGAAGATCTCCGGAAGGCGAAACGCGTGAAGTGGGGCGTGGAAGGTATCGGCGTGTCGCGCTGGATCCCGACCTTCGTCACGGCCAGGGAGTTGGGCATCCACATGGACGTGGTGTCGGGGTACAGCGGCACCAGCGAGGGCATCCCGGCCATGATCCGGAATGACTTCGACGTCTACCTGCAGCCCATCGATCACCCCACCACCGCCACCTACATCAAGTCGGGCGACGTGAGGCCCGTGCTCCACCTGCACGACAAGAGGCCGGTGAACGCTCCGAATACGCCGACGGCAAAAGAGATGGGGGTCGACCTGCGCCTCTACGTGGGCCGCAGCATCGTGGCGCCGCCGGGCCTGCCCGCTGACAGGATGAAGATCCTGGAGGACCTGTTCGTCAAGACCATGGACGATCCGGAATACCGGGAGTTTCTGGCCATGTCCAAGAGCCCCATCGTCCCCGGCGACTCCAAGGCGGCACAGGCTGACCTGGAAAACTACGTGATGAGCTACGCCAAGTACACCCAGGCCATGCGCGACGCGTTGCCGAAGTAGCAGGGAACAGGAACGGGGATCCGGGATCGGCCTTCAGAGGCATCCCTGTTCCCCCGCTCCCACAGAAAGCGAGATTGGATGAATCAACCCGCCAGCCCGGATACCACGCCGCGCCCACCCATCCCGGTACCCTTTCATTACGCGTGGCTCATCGTGGCCGTGACCTTTTTCGCCAGTTTCAACGGGGCCGGCATCCGGGTGGTTCCCACCGTGCTGATCCTTCCGCTCGAAGCGGAGTTTGGATGGGCTCGCTCCGCCATCACGTTCGGGATCTCCATCAACCTTCTGCTCTACGGCGTCGCCGCTCCGGTGTGGGCTTGGGTTCTGGACAAATACGGGCCGCGCCGGGTCATGATGACCTCGCTGACCCTGCTCTCGGTGGGTCTGTTGGGCACCACTCTCGTGTCCGAGTTGTGGCAGTTCTGGCTGACCTGGGGGGTCATGGTGGGGTTGGGGGCCGGCGGCATGTCCGGCGTACTCTCCGCTTCGGTGGCGCATCGCTGGTTCAACGCCCGGCGGGGACTCGCGGTGGGCATTCTCAGCAGCGGCAGCTCTTCGGGACAGATCGTCTTCGCCCCGTTCATGCTCCTGATCATCGGATACATCGGCTGGCGCATGGGTTCTTACGTGCTGGTTGCCTGCGCGGCCGCGGCGGTGACGATGGTCTGGCTGCTCATGCGCGACAAGCCCGCGGACGTCGGCCTGGAGCCCTACGACGAGGGGCCCGGGGCAGAGAAGGTGCCGCATACCCGTGACGGCGGGGCCATGCCGCCGGCAACGCCCGCGGGGCGGTGATGGGCATCCGGGACGCCATCAAGATGCCCACCTTCTGGCTCCTGTGCGGGGTGTTCTCCGTCTGTGGCGGGACCGCCAACGGGCTGATCGGAACCCATCTGATCCCTCATGCCCTGGAGGAGGGATTCGAGGTCGGGACCGTCAGCTTTGCGTTCGCCCTGATGGGGATCATGAACATCGTCGGGACGCTGTTCTCCGGCTGGTTGACCGACCGGGTCGATCCCCGCAAAGCTGATTGCCGCGGTGTTCACGCTGCGGGGAGTGGCGCTCTTCTATCTGACGCTGGTGGACAACACCAGCGGACTCCTCATCTTTACCGTCATCTACGGACTCGACTGGTTCGCCACGGTTCCGCCGGTGGTTACCCTCGCCGGCCAGACCTTCGGCAAGCAGTCCATCGGCCGGATCTACGGCTGGATCTTTCTGTCGCACCAGATAGGCGGGTTCGCCATGGCCAACGCCGGCGGCCTGCTGTACGACTACGTCGGCAACTATGAGATGGCGTTCTTCGCCGGCGGTTTTATGGGACTGATGGCCGCGGCGTTCGCCCTCAGCATCCGGCCCAAGCAAGCGATACCGCCGTTGGGACCGACGCCTGCCGGGGCCGCCGCGTAGGTAGCGTTCCTTGCCGTTGGCAGCGGGCTGCTCGCACCGGGCTACCCTCACCCCGACCCTCTCCCAGAGGGAGAGGGGGTCGGAGGGCGGTGAAACGAAACTCCGCGAAAAGTCTCGGACTTGGGTCGGCGCGCGGTGTCGGCGTTACGATCGCTTGTCCTTCTTCGCGGCGGCGTCGAGATCGTAAACGGCCTGCCAGGGCACCGAGCAGTGGGCCCAGACCAGGGGCTCGAACTTCTCCCACCACTCCACGTCACGCCCTTCCATGCTCAGCACCCGCACCATGCGCACCATGTCCTGGATCTGGTATTTCTCCAGGGCGGGCTGGAAGGACGGCATGATGCCTTTGCCTTCCTTGATGATCCGGCGGATCTCGAACACGTCGCGGTTGTCCACGGTGTGGCGGAAATCCGGCACGTTGGCCGAGAGCGCCTTGGCGATGGGGCCGTCGCCTCTGCCCGCCGGGCGTGGCAGCTCGCGCAGCGCTGGGCGTAGACGAGCTTCATTTCCTCCTCCCGGATGCAGCCGGACAGGGCCGCCAAGCCCAGCAATACGAGCCATACCTGGAGGAGGGGTCTGTGGCAGCGGGACATCATCGACATCACCCTTTTTTCCTACCATCTTCGATGCTTGAACAAAACAGACCGTGCAGCCACTTGGTTTGCCGGTAATGATTGGCTTTCTTTCCCCGAACCCGATACGCTGGTTCGCGTCTTTCCGTCATGAACGAGGGTCTCGGAAATGGCTATCAGAATCACCCGCGTCTATACGCGCACCGGCGACGACGGCATGACCGCGCTGGTGGGCGGGAAGCGGGTTCCCAAGGACGCCGCCCGAATCGAAGCCTACGGCACCGTCGACGAGTTGAACGCGGTGGTGGGTTGGTGCGCGCCTGGAACGAGGAAGGGAAGGGGCAGCGCGAGTTGCACCTCCGGCTCGACGCCATGCTCCAGGAGATCCAGCAGGAGCTTTTCGACCTGGGCAGTGAGCTGGCCACCCCCGAGGATTTCACCTACGACGGCATGCACCGCATGGGCGAAGAAGAGGTGACCCGGATTGAGCGGGTCATCGATGAATGTCAAGAAGAGCTGGAGCCGCTCAAGTCGTTCATCCTGCCGGGAGGCGGACGCATCAGCGCGCAACTCCACCAGTGCCGCACGGTGTGTCGGCGGGCCGAGCGGGAGATCCTCGGGTTGTCGCGGATCGAGAACGTCGGCGAGTGGCCGCTGCGTTACGTCAACCGGCTGAGCGATCTCTTCTTTGTGCTGGGGCGATGGGTGGGGAAGAATCTGGGGGAGACGGAGTACCTCTGGCAACGGGGATTGAAGTAGGGCCATACAGGCGAAGCGTTCCGGCGGGTTCAGGCTCGGAGCGCATGCGAGCGGGAGTCGGAAATGTCGGGAATCCTTGCAGGCAAGAAGGCGTTGATCTTCGGCGTGGCCAATGAACGGAGCATTGCCTGGGCGGTGGCGCGCGAGCTGCATGCCCAAGGGGCGGAGCTGGCTTTCACCTACGCCGGGGAAATTCTGGAAAAGCGCGTCCGGCCCCTGGCCGAGGGCATCGGTTCCACCCTCGTCCTGCCGTGCGATGTCACCCGGGACGAGGAGATCGAGGCGGTCTTCGAGACCGTCGGGCGGGAGTGGGACGGCCTCGACATCCTGATACACGCCATCGCCTACGCCAAGAAGGAAGACCTGTCCCAACCCTACGTGCAGACCGGACGGGAGGGGTTTCACACGGCGCTGGACATCAGCAGCTATTCGCTGGTGGTGCTGACGCGCCACGCCGCCAGGCTTATGAAGGGGCGCGACGGCGCGGTGGTGACGTTGACGTACATGGGGTCCGAGAAGGTGGTGCCCAACTACAATGTCATGGGGGTGGCGAAGGCGGCGCTGGAGGCCAGCGTCCGTTATCTGGCCTACGATCTCGGCCCGGAGGGGATACGGGTCAATGCCATTTCGGCCGGCCCGGTGAAGACCCTGGCGGCCGCCGGCATCGCGGGGTTCCGGGACATGCTGCGCCTGGCCGGCGAGCGGGCGCCGCTCAAGCGCAACGTCGAGCCCGCCGAGATCGGCAGGACGGCCGTCTATCTCGTGAGCGACATGGGGAGCGGCGTGACCGGGGAGACGATCCACGTCGATGCGGGTTACAACATCATGGGCATGTGAGGCTGTCGCCGGTGCCGGCCCGCCGGGCAAACGGGATCGTTCGACATCGGAGGAGAAGACCGTGAAAGAGATATCGCCGCAGGAAGCCTACGACGCGCTACAGCAGGACGCTCAAGCCGTGTACATCGACGTGCGCACGGTGGAGGAGTTCGCCGCCGGCCATCCCGAGGGGGCGGTCAACATCCCCATCGCGCTCCACGATCCGGCGCAAGGCATGGCCTACAACCAGGATTTCGTCGAGGTGGTGGAGAGCCATTTCGGCAAGGACCGGAAAGCTGCTGCTGGGCTGTAAGGCGGGTCCTCGGTCCAACAACGCCGCGAACCTTCTGGAGCAGATCGGCTACGAGGACGTGGCCAGCGTGCGTGGCGGCTTCGGCGGTATGCGCGACGGCTACGGGCAGGTGGTGGCCGAAGGCTGGGAAGGCTTGGGTCTTCCGGTGAGCCAGGACAACGGCGAGGGCACGAGCTACGAATCGCTGGCGGCAAAGTGAGCCGGCGGGCGTCACCCGCCCTGATCGCACTGCGCTGACAGTCGCCGTCCATGGCTTGACAGGTACCGGGTTTTTGAGCGATAAAGGCACGTTCAAAACGGACCTTCTTCCGATACATATCAAGACGTTACCGCCAAACGGCCCTTGCCGGGGTGAGGGCTTTCCCGTTCGTTCGAACCCCTGACGTTCAGAGATCAACCGTATGGACTATTTTACCGCATTCTACACCGGCCTGATCAGCATCCTGCCGTTTTCGCCCGGGGGGAATGATCCGTTCCTGTTCATGCTGGTCGGCATTGCCATCGGTTTCGTTGTGGGCCTCCTGCCCGGACTCGGAGGCGCCACGACCCTCGCCCTGATGCTGCCGTTCATCTACAAGATGGACCCCACCACGGCGTTTGCGTTTCTTCTTGGCTCCAACGCGGTTACCGCCACCACCGGGGATATCACGTCGATCCTCTTCGGCGTTCCGGGCGAGGGCATCACCGCAGCCACCATCGTCGACGGCCATCCCATGGCGAAGAAGGGGGAAGCCGGCCGCGCCCTGGGAGCCGCGCTCATGAGCTCGCTGGTGGGCGCCGTCTTCGGCGCCTTCGCCCTGGCCCTGGCCATCCCCATCGTGCAACCTCTGGTGCTTTCCATCGGCTCCTCGGAATTCTTCATGCTGGCGCTTCTGGGGATCACCTTCGTGGCGTCTCTGAGCGGCGGCAACGTGCTCAAGGGGTTGTGCACCGGCGCCTTCGGACTCGTCCTGGCCACCATCGGTCTGGATCCCATCGAGAGCGTGCCGCGCTTTACCCTCGATCCCCTCATCGGGGAGGATGCTGCGCTTTTCCTGTGGGACGGCCTGTCCCTTGTGTCGGTGACGGTGGGCCTGTTCGCCATTCCCGAGATCATCGACCTGTCGGTGCAGGGGACGAGCATCGCGCGTCAATCCACCGGAAAGCTGGGCGGCGTCATGCAGGGTGTCATGGATACCTTCCGGCACTGGAAGCTGGTATTGGCCTGTAGCGCCATCGGCTCCTACATCGGCCTCATCCCTGGACTCGGCGGGGGGCCGGCCCAATGGGTGGCCTATGCGCACGCGGTGCAGAGCTCGCCGGGAGACAAGAGCCGATTCGGCAAGGGCGCCATTGAGGGTGTCCTCGGCCCAGGCGCGGCCAACAACTCCAAGGAAGGGGGCTCCCTGGTTCCGACCATCGCGTTCGGCGTCCCGGGCAGCGTCTCCATGGCCATCCTGCTGGGGGCCTTCATCATCCAGGGCATCGTTCCGGGGCCGGACCTGCTCGATCCGGCCAAGCACCTGAACCTCACGTTCTCGTTCGTCTGGATCATCGTCGTCTCCAACATCATCACCGTCGCCGTGTGCCTGCTGTTCTTGAACCAGCTCGCAAAGATCACTTTCGTCAAAGGAACCTTCCTCATTCCGTTTCTCCTGCTGCTGGTCTATTTGGGGGGCTTTGCCGTCAACAACGCCTTCGGCGATATGGTGATGGTGGTGATATTCGGCGCGGTGGGGTGGCTCATGGTCCGGTTCGACTGGCAGCGGCCGCCGCTGCTGCTGGGACTCGTTCTCGGCGGCATCGCGGAGAACAACCTCTTCATCGCCACCAAGGTTTACGGCGCCGGATTCATGCTGCGGCCGGGGGTGCTGGTCATCACCGCGCTCATTGTCGCGGGAATGTGCTACCCCATGTTTCAGGCCTACCGGGAACGGAAGCGCGCCGAGCGGCACGAAGCCGCGTTCGAGGTGCCCGGCATCACCAAGACCGTGGAAGTGATCTCACGCAACGAGCGCACGGCCAATGGCATCTTCGCCTTCTGCTTCGTTGCGGTGTTCGCCTACGTTCTGCGCGAGTGTTTCTTCGGCTTCGGCGCCTACGAGGAGCGCGCCGCCCTGTTCCCGGTGGTCATCGGGCTGCCGGCCTTTGTCATCAGCGCGGTGGTCTTCGTGAAGGAGATCATGAAGACCTCCAGAGTCGTGGTGCACGGAGAGGAGGGCGTGGAGGAGGTCGAGGAGATTCCCCCCGCGGAAACGCGCCGGCGAACCGCGGTCATCAGCGCCTGGGTGGTGGGTTTCTTCCTCTCCATTTGGCTGCTGGGGTTCGTGCTGTCGTCCGTGGTGGCGACCTTTCTCTACCTCAAGGTCGGCGCCCGGGAACGTTGGCCCATCTCCATCATCCTGACGTTGGTGGCTTACGTGTTCTTCGGCGGCATCTTCGACATGCTACTCCATCTTCCCTTCCCCACCGGCGACCTGTTCGTCTGGCTGGGGCTCGAGTGAGACCCGGCGGCACCCGCGATGTTCCACCCGCCCCCCCTCCGACTCCCTCTCCCTCTGGGAGAGGGTCGGGGTGAGGGTGCTCAAATCAACTGCCCCGCTGGGTACGGCACGGAATGAGGCAGGCAGGGTTGTTGGGGCGCCCTCACCCGGCCTTCGGCCACCCTCTCCCAAGGGAGAGGGGTTGGGTGCTCGATCGATCACTACCCGTCACAAGCCGCCAACGTATTGACCCGGTCTGGGGCCTCGGATAGAGTTTAAGGCATGCGGAGAGCCTTCTACTCCTGCGCCGCGGTGTTGCTGCTCGTGTGCTGCGCCACGGCGGTTCTCCCCGTGCCCCTTGCCTACGCCCTTTCCCAGGACGAAGAGATCCGCATCAGCCGCCAGTTCCGGCGGGAGGCCCGGCAGCACCTCAAGTTCATCGAGGACCCCGAGGTAGAGCTGTACGCCGACCGGATCGGCCGCCGGATCCTCGAAGCAGTAGGAAACACCCGATACCCGTACCGCTTCTTCGTCATCGAAGACGGCTCGATGAATGCATTTGCCGTACCCGGGGGCAGCATCTTTGTCCACTCGGGACTCATCCAGAGGGTCGAGACCTCGGACGAGCTGGCCTCGGTTGTCGCCCACGAGATTGTCCACGTGAACGCGCGGCACTTCGCTGCCCTGTCTTCCAATACGGACGCGACCATGCTGATCGGAATGCTTGGCGTGTTCCTGGCGCCCGTCCTTGGGCCCGTGGCGCTTGCCGGCCCCGCCTTGGCCATGTCCCGGCAACTGGAATTCAGCCGGCAGATGGAGGAACAGGCGGACAATCTGGGCGTGGGCTTCCTGGCACGCGCGGGTTATGATCCCGAGGCCTCGGTGGACTTCATGAAGAGGATGTACCGCGAACGGATTCTGAATCCCGTGGGCAGACCCTCCTACCTGCTGACTCACCCTCTGAGCCAGAAACGGATTGCCAATCTGACGGCATCGATCCGGGCCCTTGGACTCGCGCGCCCTCGTTTCAGGGATGCCGACGATATCGAACGAGTCAAGCTTCTGATCGAGTTGCGAAAAGAGCCTGACCTCGTGGTCGGGCGGTTGAGGAAGGCCCATGAACGGCGTCCCGAAGCGGCCAAGCCGGCGTATTCGCTGGGCATCGCCTATGCCGCCACCGGCCGCTGGGTTCGCGCGCGGGAAATGCTGGAAAGGGCGGCGCGGTTGAAGTCGACCAGTCCGACCCTGGATCGGGATCTGGGACGGGCGTACCTCCACACCGAAGAATTCGCCAAGGCCCACGCCGCCTTCGAACGCATGTTGGAGCGGGAACCGGACGATCCCATCACCTACCTGTACCGGGGTCATCTTCTCGAAAAGGAGTCGCGCTTCCGGCAGGCGGCGCGTTCGTATCTGAGGGTGCGCCAGCTCGCGCCGTTCTGGCCCGAAGCCGCCCGGCGGCTCGGCTATGCCTACCGAAAGCTGAATCAGCCTGGGAAAGCCCACTATTACCTGGCGCAGTCCTACCTGCTGCGGGACGAGACCGGCAAGGCCATGGATTCCCTGGAGCGCGCCGCCCAGCAGTACGAGGAGGACTCGCCGAGGTGGCAGGTGATCAAGGACGAGATCGCCGCCATACGGGCCGGAGGCTGATCCCCCGGAAGTGCCATCAGGCGAAGGTCCGGTGCTCAATCGCCGAGCGCCTTCCGGAGGCGTTTTCGCGCTTGCACATAGATCTGACAGATCCTCCCTTCCGTCAGCCCCAATCCTTCTCCGATCTCCCTGAACTTGAGCTCCTGGTAGTGGCGCAGGGTCACCACCAGACGTTCACGTTCCGGGAGCCGCGCCACGGCGCGTTTCAGCTTGTCGACCAAATCACGTTGCTCCACGCACGCGAACGGGTCCTGATAGAGCCCCTGTCCCGAAACGTTCCCGTCGAGGACCAGGTCCGGCCCGCCGCAAGACGGGTCATCGAGGCTCAACCACCCGTGCTCCCTGACGCCGTGGTTGATCTTGTGGTAGGTCTCCAACGGTAAATTCAGCTTCTGTGCCATTTCCTCGGAAGTGGCTTCGCGACAGAGGTGTTCGGTGAGTTGCATGCGCGCCGCGGTGACTCGCCGTCCCCACGCCCGGATCGAACGGCTCACCCAGTCAAGGGAGCGCAGGCACTGGATCATCTCCCCGTGGATGCGGTGCCGGGCATAGACGTGGAACGATACACCCCGCTCGGGATCGAATCGCTCCAGGGCCTCGAGCAGACCCACCACGCCCGAGTTCACCAGGGCATCGAGATCGTGGCCGGGCGGCAACCGGCGATGGAGTTGGCGAGCCATGTGTTCCACCAGTGGCAGGTATGTGGTGACGACGTCCTCCGGGGAGTCGTCCTGCTCCACCACCGGAGGGGTTGCCGGGCTGGTCTCGGACGGCGGTTCTTTCATGAACGAACATGAAGGCAACGGCCATGCCAGCGCACGGAAGGGATCAAGAATCGAGAGACTACAGGCACTTAGCCGCCGCCCGGAAGCGGAGACCGCGGGGATGGGGTGTCAACAGAGGGTGACCGGCGTCACGCTGCCGCCGGTCCAATGTGGTAGGGGCGACCGGCGGTCGCCCCCGGCCGGTCGCCCTACGTTCCTAGCGGTAAAGCTCCATCAACTCCACCAGACCGAGGGCGCGCATTTCGCTGAAAAGATAGCGTTTGATCTCATCGACCCTGTCCATCCGCAGAGCCTCCTGCCCGATGGCAAATGCCCTCTCATAGCTCACGGAGCGCACCAGCTTCCGGACCACGGGAATGGACAGGGACTCCATGCTGAACTCTTCGAGGCCCATCCCCATCAGCAACAGGGTCGACAACGGGTCCCCGGCCATCTCCCCGCACATGGCGACGCGTTTGCCGTTGTCCTTGGCGGCCCGGATGACCTGGTTGAGCGCGGCGAGGACCGCCGGGTGAAAGGGCTCGTAGAGAGACGCCACCTTGAGATTGCCGCGGTCGACGGCCAACAGGTACTGGATCAGGTCGTTGGTGCCGATGCTGACGAAATCCACCTCCTCCACCATCCGATGCACCACCTGCACCGCCGCGGGCACCTCGACCATGATCCCCAGTTCCATGTCGTCATCGAAAGGGACGCGGCGCCACACCAGTTCCGTCTTGACCTCGCGCAGGATGGCCTTGACCCGAAGGATCTCCTCGAGACTCGAGATCATGGGGATCAAAAGGCGCACCGGCCCCAACGCGCCCGCGCGCAGGATGGCCCGGAGCTGCATCTTGAAAGTCTCGGACACCTCCAGCGAAATGCGAATGGAACGCCATCCGAGGAACGGATTGGGCTCGGAACGGGCAATGCTCACGTAAGGGGGGTATTTGTCGGCGCCGATATCGAGCGTCCGGATCGTGACAGGCTTGCCGCCCATACCCTCCACCACCTTTTGATAGAGGGTGAACTGCTGCGCCTCGGTGGGAAAATCATGATACGCCAGAAACGGGATCTCGGTCCGGTAGAGGCCGATGCCTTCCGCTCCATGAGTCTGCGCAAACCGGATATCCGTGAGCAGTCCCATATTGGCAAGCAGGTGAACCCGGTGGCCGTCGGTGGTCTCGGCCGGCAGATCGCGCATTTCGTCGAGTTCGCGGTTGACGGCGAGATATTGACGCTCCAGCCGGTCGTACTCGCCGACGATGTCCTCGTTGGGGTTGATGAACACGACCCCGGAGTTGCCGTCGACGATCAACGAATCCTCTTTCCGGACGCTTTTCCAACACCCCCTCCGCCGCCACCACGGTGGGGATCTCGAAGGATTTGGCCAGGAGCGACGCGTGGGAGGTGACGCCGCCGGTGGCGAGCACGATACCTTGAAAGCGATCGCCTTCGATGACGGCCAGGTCCGCGGGAGAGAGATCTTCCGCGACCAGGATGGCTCCTCCGTCCGGGACGACGAGCCGCCGGTCCTCGGCGCCCGAAAGATTCTCGAGTAGTCTCTGGGCGACGTCACGGATGTCCGCCGTGCGCTCCTTCAGGTAACTGTCGCCGACCTCGCTGACGGTTTGCATGTGTCCGCGGAAGGTGCTGCTGACGGCGTAGTATGCGGTCAGGTGTTCTCCGAGGATCCGGCCTTCGATTTCCTTCTGCAACACCGGGTCCTTCAGCACGAGTTGGTGCACGTCGAAAATCGCCCCCGCCTCTTCGGAAATGAGGGCAATCATGCGGGTCTTGATCTCTTCCACCTGGGCCACGGCTCGTTGCACCGCGGAACGGAAACGCTCGATCTCGCCCTGGGGATCGGCGGTGCGGGTCTTGCCGATGGCGTCCAGGTCTATCAGGCGCTGCATGATGTAGGCCCTGCCGTAGGCAAAGCCGGGGCAGGCGGCGAGCCCGGTCAGACGGCTGCGAAACTTTCTCGGAGGCTCGCTGGTTCGTTCCTTTCCCCTTCCCTCGTACGACCGGAGCCGTCGCAGTGCGCTGACCATACGCTGCCGGGACTGCTTGCGTTCACGCTCCTTGTCCTTGAGAGAATCCACCAGCCGGGCGTGGACGATGATGGTGGAAACCTGGGCGGAAATGGCCTTGAGGAGACGGATCTCCTCGTGCATGAAGTCACGCGGACGGGAAGTCTGCACCACCAGCACGCCGATGGGTGTTTTCTGGGCGCTGACGGGAACGCCGAAGAAGGAATGGTAGCGTTCTTCGCCGGTCTCCGGAAAATACAGAAAGCGTGGATGCGACGGAGCGTCCATGACCATCACGGGTTCCCGTGTTTCCACTACCAGCCCGGCCAGGCCCTCGCTGGCAAGCATGGACACGCGTCCCACGGCCGCCGGATCCAGCCCCTTCGTGGCGCTGAGAGTCAACCTTTTGCTGTCGGCCTCGAGGAGATAGACCGAGCAGACTTCGGTCTGCATGCGCTTGGCCACGATGCCGGCGATGCTGTTGAGGCATCCTTGCAAGTCCTCGGCTTCGTCGACGAACCGGCTGATTTCTTCCAGGGTGACGAGATGAGAGGCGTCGTCCTCGGTGGCGATGTCGGGTACACGAACCATGGCTCCATTGTAGGGGGTTCGAGGGTCAATCACAATTCCGGGGCGGCGCCGCGGAGGCCGATTTGACCCTCTTTCGGGCAGATGTTACGTTGCCGTGATGTCCGTTCAAATGCCTGTCCACAACACCGAGAAACCCACGGATTCCCTGGAAGCGCACGTCAGAGCCATCCTGGAGGCACTAGGGGAAGACCCTGACAGGGAAGGGCTGGAGAACACGCCGGCGCGAGTGGCCAAGGCCTGGACTTTCTTGACCGGCGGCTATCGCGAGGATCCGGACAAGATCATCAACGGCGCCCTGTTCACCGAGGACTATCAGGAGATGATCGTCGAGAAGGACATCGACTTCTATTCTCTCTGCGAACATCACATGTTGCCTTTTCACGGCAAGGCCCATGTGGGCTACATCCCGCGCAAAAAGATCGTCGGCGTTTCCAAACTCGCGCGGCTGGTGGACGCATACGCCCGCCGCCTGCAGGTCCAGGAACGCCTGACGAACCAGATCGCCCATACCATCATGGATCGTATCAACCCCTTGGGGGCGGCGGTGGTCATGGAGGCCGAGCACATGTGCATGCGCATGCGCGGCGTTCAGAAACAGAACTCCACCATCGTCACGAGCGCTCTACTGGGGGCCTTCCGTACACAGGAGAAGACTCGCGCCGAGTTCATGAACCTCATTCGCGGTCACGCCTCCTGACCGATGTGCATGGAAATCAAGCTGAGAGAAATCGCCCCGTTACGGGTCCAGACCGCGTTGCTGGCGGTGCCGGTTACGGACAAGGACCTCGGGGAGGGCCTGGTACGGCGCCTCGACCGCCAACTCAAGGGCAGACTGGGTGCGCTGGTGAAAAAGAGCAGTTTCGCCGCCAGGCGCGGAACCTCGCTGCTGGTGGCGACCCACGGCGCCATGCCCACGGGCCACGTGTTGCTGGTGGGACTGGGCAAGCATGAGGAGGACGGTCTCCATGCCTGGCGCATGGCCGGTGCCGCTGCCGTGAAGGAGGCCGGGCGGGTATGGGCCGACGAGGCGATTTTCATGTTGCCCCCGGACCAACAGACGGAATCCGTCGTGGGGGCGGTGACCGAGGGCGCCCTGCTCAACGCCTACCGCTTCACCAAGTATCGGTCCAATGACAAACAAACGGCACCGCTCCGCACGCTCATTCTCGGGCGGACCGCGTCGGGGAGCAGCGCCGCGCTGACGCGGGCGGTGAAGCGGGCCAAGCTCTCGGTGTCGGGCGTCTGCCTCGCTCGGGACCTGGTAAACGAACCGCCGTCCACGGCTACCGCCAGCTATCTGTCGGAGCAGGCCAAGGTTCATTGCCGCGGCGAGGGGCTGAAGGTGGAGGTGTGGGGCAAGAGAAAGATCGAACAAATGAAATTGGCGGGTCTGCTGGCGGTGAATCAAGGCAGCCGGGAGGAACCGCGTTTCATCCACATGCGCTACACGCCCAAGGGCCGGCCGAAAAAGAAGATCGCTCTCATCGGCAAGGGAATCACCTTCGACTCCGGCGGCCTTTCCCTCAAGCCGGCGCGGTCCATGGAGACCATGAAGCTGGACATGGCGGGAGGCGCGGCAGTCATCGGTGTGATGAGTGTGCTACCCGAGTTGGCGCCCGACGCCGAGGTGATTGGCCTGGTGCCGGCCACGGACAACCTGCCGGACGGCGGCGCGCAAAAACCCGGGGACGTCATCCGGTACCTCAATGGCAAGACCGTCGAGGTCATGAATACGCGCGAGGGCGGTCATTCGCGCGGGACTTGGTGCCCTGGTCCTGGCGGCCCGCGAAAAAACCCGGACTGCATGTTGATCATATGGCCACCCTCACACGGTGCGTTGCCTGTATCGTCGCCTTGGCACGACCGAGATGCGGGACTGTTCATCGACGAGAAACGACGTGAGCGCGCGGCCAGGCTATTCGAATGCGGCCGCAGCATTGACCGGGGCGGGCTCTGGCAGTTGCCTCTGAGCGGCCGAGTACCGTCGAGAGACATCAAGAGTCCCGGTCGCCGACATCAAGAAAGAATTGTGTGGGAGGCGGTCGGCGGCCGCGCCATCACGGCGGCCCTGTGTCCTGCAGGAATTCGTCAGAACGAAGTTTTTGTTCCCTGGCGCCCCTGGACATAGCGCAGGACCCGCATTTGCCGGCAAGGATCACCTTACGTGCCCGAAAGGGCGGAGAGGTTTTTTGTTTCCTCTCGGGAAGAGGTTCGGTCCGGACCTTGTTGAAGCTCTTCTCGGAATGTAGGGCGGGTTTCACACCGCCCGCGCTCGGCATAGCACTATATTGCGTTAGAAACCGCCCCTACAAGGGAGCACCGCAGGGCGTCCATGCCCACGACGCAGGAGCGATTGGAAAGGAAGGACACGTCGCGACGCGACAGAGCAATCATGTAGCGGATACAACGAGTTCGACGCAGAGGTCATTCGCGCGTCCACACCCGTGTTGTGGATTTCTTCTTCTGGGCCCCCTGGTCACACTGGCAGCGGGGCCCGTGCAATCCATCGCGCCGGTGCTGGAAGAGCTGGCGCGGGAAGGGAGGGGACAAATATGACGGCAGGCTCAAGGGGTGAAGGCATCAACGTTGACGAGAACCCTGACACACCCAGCCGCTATGGCGTACGGGGATACTTCCGATCTGATGATCTTCAAGGAAGGCGGCCTCTCGGCCAGATCGGGGGCGAGCGGCTCCGAAAGCCCGGTTGGTGAGCGCAGCTCGTCGACAAGGCTGCACGGCTGAGGGTGCCGGGCCAGTGGGGCGGGCAGGGCTGTTGCACCGCGGCCTTCGCGCCACCTCTCCAGAGGAGCAGGGGTTGGATTTGGTGACGGACGAGGCCACGCTCCAGCGAGCGCGATTTGACCCTCTCCCTCGGGGAGCGGTTGTGATGGGGCGCCCCGAGCCTACGCGGGAGAGTAGTGTGGCGTCTCATGCTGACGCTGCATGAGTCAGCAGCCCACGCACGCCACCATGGTCGCGTAACCAGCGAGCGCCGCAGTAACTGAAATCAGCGGCACAAAACGGAATTCCAAGGCCACGGCACGAGGCCGAGTGACCTGGCCGATGTGGTAGATGGATGAACTGCCAGAACAGGATGGCGGTCATCGTCCGTGGCCAACAACACCCGCCGAAACGATCTTGAGCCCGCGTCGCACGACCCGAGCGCGGAGCAGGGATCATCATCACGTCTACCCCGACAGCAGCAGCACACAGCCGAGAACCCCACTCTTCGGCCAAATACGGAGAGGATGAAATCCGTATGTTGTTCGAGAGAAAGTCCAGCCCGTTCTGGCTCCGCCTGAAGCTCTCGCTGCCCCAGAAGTTGGCCTGAGCCGATGGCGCGATCTGGACTGACGACATGATGTAGCTCCGTTGCGCGCGCGACGAGGGTCCGCACTTAGCCCTGTTCCGGGAGTCTACTGAGGTCCGAGTAGCAGGGTCTTCTGATACGGCGTTCAAGACGTGCCACCCCACGGGCAGGTGGCAATGCGGCGACGGCGAAGGACAGCAGGACCGCATGCGCAGATCACGCAGACCGATGACCACAACGACTCATGGCGATGAGAAAGAGTCAGCACCGCGGTCCCCAGGTCCGTTGCAGCGCAGCCCACAGCGCCAGCCGGGTGGCGACAGCATCAATGTGCACTCCGGGCGGTGAGGATGTATCCGGGCTAGTGGTGTAGCACAGCGTCTTGGCCCAGCACGAGCACGATCACCATTTGGCTGTTCTCGGAGGGCTGGCACACAGCAAAACTTCAGAGTCCACCCAGCGTTGGGAGCCTCCGCTGGTGATGGCTCTTCATTCATGACTCGCCGTCACCAGGGCGAGGAGATGACGCCAACACGCGGGCGTAGATGGTACACCCAGCGTTCAAGCGTGCTGAAGTCCACGGAAAAGGTTGCGACCGATCGTCCACCATGCCCGATGACGAGCCAGTAGACTGCTTGGTGCCAGTTAGGCGCGAGCAACATCTTCATCGACGCTGCACGTGGCGCTGCTAGTATGGTCATGATACCCAGCAGGCACACACACAGCGATGGACAAGACGAACAAGGCCAGTCGAAGCTGGACACGATTCGGCTCAATTTGCATGTGCTTATCGGCTGGGGGCTAGTTGCGTTTGTCGGACCGTCGGCACTTCTGTTCCTTCCATCTGTAGTAACTCATCCAAATGGTCCTCGAGGGTGCGAATAGGCCCCGATGACTTCTTGGCATGCGTGCCGGCCGTGGACGTCCGCCGTGTCCGCCTTGCTCCACCGATGGTGGCAACGGCGATCTCGGGCCCTCGCGCCGGGCGTTAGGCACGAACCACCGTGATCCTGATCGCGTAGCAGGTCCTCGCAACCTTGACGGCTTTTACTCCCCGCCCTTTCCTCCCCGCGCATATTCCGTGAGTGTGGGCGGTGCCGGTCCATCTCGTGCCGCGATGTCCACGACATCCGAGCGCGCCCGCTTGCCCCCGTACCCTCTACCTGCATGGACCCACCTCGAAAGCGCCCTGCTACGATTGCCAGTTTCTCCGGTGGCTGGAGAAAACTTCAGATCCACGTGGCCGGACCGAACCGGGGCCGTACTCTTCCATGACCTCGACCTCCGGGCGAGCGCAACATTGCTTTACGAACCCTTGGGCGGTACCCCGTTCCCTCCGTTGGCACATAGTTTGGCCATCAACTTGCCCAGCTTGCCATAATCTGTGGACGTGCCGCACAAGGACGGGGGTTGCCCGTCTAACCCCGAGGTAACCTTGGCCGATGGCCACGAGCGGGGTGTCGCCGGGGTAACCCGCAAGACCGCGCCCTCCCGAAACTCGCCTCTTCCACGCCCGGTCGGGAACCACCCGGCGCTTTCCGCCTCAATCTCGATCCCGTGGGCGCCCGAATCCAAAACGCCTCGCCTGCCTGGCGATCTTGTTCGATAACCGAGCCGCGTCGCCAACTGGTATAAGTAGACGGGGTCGCACTACTGCACCAGGGCCTGGTGCATATTTCCTGTTGGCCTGTCCCGACTTCTCCAATCCGGAGAACGCGATCGCCCGACCCCCTGTAACGACCGTTGCAGAAAAGCGTTTGATCGGGGGAAATGAGCCTTCCTGCACACCCGGCCCAATGCGGTGACGATCTTGAACGTCGACAACCGAAACAGCGGCGGAAAAGGCCCCTCAATCCCTGTTTGCAGTGGTGTTTCGTTGGTCGGCCGTCATTGAACCCACTCCCCGGGCGTCCCCATGCCCCGGGCAACGAGTTTGGGTCGAACGCGCGGAGTGCTCACCAGCGCACGTCTGTGACGGCGCCCCGTGTGCACATCAGACGACGATGGCGCCATTCCGTGTCCTCAACGCGGGCGCACTCCGCTTGCTGGATGTCCATGTCGAGGGCATTACGACAATTGTGGTCCCGGGGGTCGCCTTGAAGTCGATCGACACCAACAACTTTGGCGACCTTGCGGCCGGCCGACACAACACACAGACCTCCACCTTCTCTTCTCGCCGCCACTGCGGTCCAGCCATATGTTGTGTTTTTCCCTACGTCTTCTCGAGGCCGGCCTTTCCGATCTCATCCCCGCGCCGGTATCCCCGTTCTGCGAAGTCGGGTGCAACTGGTTGCTTTTTGATCCCTCCCCCAGGTAGCCGACACGTGGGCCCGTCAATCTCTCCTCAAATGCTGGCCGCCGCGCCCTGACCTGACGTAGATCACCCTGAATCGATCCTTCGTGCTTTCTCCACGGCTAGCCCCACTTGGCCATTTCCACCGTCGACGAATGAGCTGTACCCCGTTCGATCCCTTGCTGAGGGGTGAACGCTTCCGGGAAATCGCTCGGCCTGTCTTGCCCTCACCATGTACCGCAACGGGTCCCGTGTTCCCTGTCACCCGTGTGTCGCATTTTTTCCCCCCCGGTCTTGCGAATCGGGTAGGCCTGCAAGCCAGGCTCCATACGGTCTACTATACCCTGCTCCTTTGGACCGTATCCCGGAAGCCGATAGTCCCAGCCTGTCTTTTTTTGATCAACAGCCGCTGAATAAGTTTAGAATGAAAAAAAAACGGCTCCAAATCAACGTGTCGCAACTACATTTTCTTCTCTCCCTGCCGATCGTCTCCCCTGTGCAGCCGCTCGCTCATGGCCGGTTCCAGCCGGATCCTGTTGTGTTCGACATGACGGTTTAACGCGTGCCTTTGCATGATCTGGAGTGTTGCACACATGCGTACGTCAGGAGGCGAAAATCAACAGGATCAACACCCGACTTGCGTATTCGGCCTCGGAACTCCGTGAGAGTACTGGAGGTGGACCTAGGAGGAAGCATGGACGAGGGAAGACGGTTTTTCACGTCTCCATACGAATTTCTGTATGTACGCGGAGCATGAGGAACAGCAACGTGGCGATGAACGCGAGAAGAGGCTTCCCGATTCAGCCTCCCCAGATGGCGCGCGCGACGACCACCAACCACGCGCTGGCACTCGAACGAAAGGGGATATGACAATCAGCGTGCCGACCTTTACCATACGGCCTCGCGACGAACACGTTGACTATTGTCGCTTCTGACCCCGCTGGGGCCATTGGCCAAGAGTAGCGGAAGACGACGTATACCACCAGAACGACCATGGAGCAGGCGCAGGGCGTTCATCACGCGGTTGAGGACTCGCGAGGATGTCGATGGACGTATCCCAGCGAACACGTCGCCCAACAGCCTCCACCCGTGGCGTTACGCGCCCAATAGACTGCAGAGATCAGGGTCATGGTCGGTGGATGATGTGCGTCCAGCTTGCAAGGTGCAGGACCGTGGCAGTGTCAGAGAACGAGACCAGTGCGATGCCGAAGAAGATCAGGAGACATTCTCATGGCGTAACACGGGTGGCGTTTGTCGCTCCTCGCCTCTCCTCGCTGCGGAGGAAATCCGCCGCCGTCTGGCTGTCACTGGCGGAGATGACGGCTGTGTAAAATGGCACCATCTTTTGTCCCATCACCAACGGGTCCACCGCTCAGCGCCACGCGAGCGTGCGGCGATAAAAGTCTAACCCTTCCGAAAAGACCGGAACCGTCGTGGGCGCCTCGCATGTCGTACGATGTGCCGACCGGGGCAGAGTCCTTTGGAAACGTCCATCCTAGTCGCCCGAGTTTGCTGAGTCGGCGGTCGCCGGGACGGACGTCCTCGTTGCGGCCCATGTACTTGACGATGGGCTCTCCGTCCACCGATCCGGAGACGATGCCGCGCACCCGGGTCCGCTGTGTGATGATATCAAGCCCGCTCTTGTGATCCGTCAACAGCATGACCTTGGCGGTGTCGTCTTCCACGGACACGACCTTGCCGACGACTCCCTTCGTTGTGATGACCGCCATGCCCAGATGGATGCCCGCACGCGTGCCCTTGTCCACCGTGATGGTGCGAAACCAAGTGCTCGGGCTGTTGCTGATCACCGTAGCCGCCACCGATTCCCGCAGGATCCGCGTTCTGATCTCCAGCAACTCGGTCAAGCGATCGTTGGCGAGCTTGGCTTCGAAGAGTCGATTGCGTTCGGCCTCCAGGGCGGCGATCTGTTCCTTGAGTGCCTGATTCTGGTTCCAAACGTCCTTGAATGCCATGTAGTTGAGTTGCAGATTGCGCATTGCCGCGCCCAACGCGTGGAGCGACTTCTGCAGCGGTCTTACGGATTGCGACAGGAGTTTGGTAACCGGGTCTCCCTTGTTGGGAGTGGTGGATGAGACGGTGACGACGTAGAACGCCAAGGCCAGAGCGCACAGGCAATGGATCGGGATCCGATACCGGCGTAGTACCGTGATGACCAGAAACCCGGCTCTGCTCGATCGGGTGTCCGGCTGGTGAGTTCTGGAGGGATGCTGCGTTGACCAGGGCGAGTCCGCAGTTCTCCCTGTCCTGCCTGCGGGCACGTGTAGCCTCCGTCCTTTCAGTTGATCGTCACATCCTTGAGCAGGTCGATCTCGTCCAGCGCCTTGCCGGCCCCCAGGACCACCGAGGTCAGGGGATCGGCTGCGAGGGTCACCGGAAGCCCGGTCTCTTCGCTGATCAGCGAGTCCAGGTTCCTGAGCAACGACCCTCCGCCGGCCAGAACGATACCTCTGTCAACGATGTCCGAAGCCAACTCCGGAGGCGTACGCTCCAGAGAAACGCGGACGGCGTCCAGGATCTGGTTGATGGGCTCCAGCAGGCAATCGCGGATCTCTTCATCGGAAATCAACACGGTCTTGGGTACGCCCGCCACCAGATCCCGTCCCTTGATCTCCATGGTACGGATTTCTTCGCCGGGATAGGCCGAGCCGATGGTTATCTTGATCAACTCCGCCGTTCGCTCTCCGATCATCAGATTGTGGCGTCGCTTGATGAACTGAACGATGGCTTCGTCCTGCTTGTCGCCTCCCACCCGGATCGACTTCGAGTATACGATACCCGCCAGGGAGATCACCGCCACCTCGGTCGTCCCCCCGCCGATGTCCACGATCATGTTCCCGGTGGGTTCGGTGATGGGCAGCCCCGACCCGATGGCCGCGGCCATGGGTTGCTCGATGAGGTAGACCTCTCGGGCTCCCGCCGATTCCGTGGATTCCCGAACGGCCCGCTTCTCGACCTCGGTGATGCCGAAGGGAACCCCGACGATCACCCTCGGACGCACCAGCGAGCGACGGTGGTGCACCTGCTTGATGAAATAGTCGAGCATGGCCTCGGTGGTCTCGAAATCCGCGATGACGCCATCCCTCAACGGTCGAATGGCGACGATGCTGCCAGGCGTGCGCCCCAGCATCCTTTTCGCCGCGGTGCCGACGGACAAAATCCTTTTCTCGCCGCGTCCGTTTTTCTGCACCGCGACCACGGAGGGTTCGTTACACACCACGCCCTCGTTCTTGATATAGATCAGCGTGTTCGCAGTGCCCAGATCAATGGCCAGATCGTTGGAGACCAAGCTATAGATCTTGTCGAGAAACCTCATGACACCCCTTTGGTTGCGGAATGTAAGGACCGAGTAAAGATATCAGAAGTGAACCCGTGGTACAACAAACGAAAAGGGTAAAGAAAAGGGTAAAGAGACGCCGGTCGCTGCCGGCCCCGCTGTTGCCCTTCACTTCATCAACAGGGCTACCTATAATGACTTCCGGTTCGTCTCTCTGCCGCGTGCCGGGCAGGTCGCGAACGGGATTGCCAAACAGATTGCCGTGCTCCGAGGAGAGTTTCGAACATGCTTGACGTGATACGGAAAAGAAAACGGTCGTGGCTGGTGCTGCTGTTGCTTGGGGTCGGCGTGCTGGCGTTCGTCATGGTCGGTGTGGGCCCCCAGGGAGGACAGGAGCAGGTGGTCACCATCGCCGAGGTGAACGGGGACAAGATCACCTACACCGAGCTCGAGCGCCAATACTACAGGATGCTGCAGACCTACCGGCAATTGGCCGGAGGACGGCTCTCTCCCGCCGACCTCGAGGCGCTCAATCTCAGGGGCCAGTTGCTGGAGGAGCTCATCCAGCAACGGTTGTTGTTGCAGGCGGCCCACGAGCTGGGGCTTCGGGTCACCGATGACGAGTTGGTGGAAGGCATCGCGCGCAACCCGGCGTTCCAGGCCGCCGGCCAATTCAACAAGAACACCTATGAGCAGGCGCTTCGCGGACAGGGGCTGACTCCCGGAGAGTTCGAAGTCCGGCAGCGTGAGGCGCTGGTGATCCAGAAACTTCAGGACCTGATCCAACACTCCATCCCGGTCACGGCCGACGAGGTGGAAGAACGCTATCGGGTGGACAACGAGGAGATCGCGCTGGATTTCGTGCGGCTCAAGACCGACGATTTTATCGAGGGCACCGAGGTCAGCGACGAAGAGCTCAAGGCCTACTACGACGGTAACGGCGCGCTGTTGCGGGAACCGCTCAAGGTCAAGGCAAAGTATCTGGCGTACCGCGTGAAAGACTTCGCCGCCGATGTCGAGGTTTCCGACGAGGACATCCGGGCCTACTACGACGTCTACCGTGACCGCCGGTTCCGCAGGCGGGAAGCGGTGAAGTTCAGCCAGATCTTCATCCCGGCGCCGGCGGAAGGAACGTCGCCGGAAGACCAGGCGGCGGCGCGCAAGCAACTGGAAGACGTCCTGAAGCGGGCTCGGGGGGGCGCCGACTTCGCCGAGTTGGCCAAGCAGCACTCCAAGGACGGCAGCGCCGCCCAAGGCGGCGACATGGGTTTTGTCGGCCGGGGTCAACTGGTGTCGGCGCTGGACACGGCGCTCTTCGCGCTGAAGCAAGGCGAGGTGAGCGATGTCCTGGAAAGCGCGCTGGGACTGCACGTGTTGAAGGCGGTGGAAAGGCAGGAGGACGAAGTCAAGGAGCTCGAGGACGTACGGGAGGAGATCGTCGAGGCTCTCAAGGGTGAACGCGGCGCCACAAGGGCGGCGCGGGCGGCGGAGGAAGACCGCGAAAGGGCCCTCGACGGTACGCCGCTGGCGGAGGTCGCCTCAAAAAGGGGGATCGAGTTGTCGGAGACGCAACTGTTCAGCGCGGGTGAAACGCTCGACGAGATCGGGAACGTGGTGGACTTTTACCGCGCGGCCCTCTCCCTCAAGCCGGATCAGGTGGGGCCCATCGTCTCGGCACCCGGCGCGTTGTACCTGATGGAGACCGCCCAGAGAATAGAACCCGTGATCCCGCCGCTGGAGGACGTGAAGGACAGGATAACGGAGACCCTCACCCGCAGGAAGGCGCGCGAGCTGGCCCGGAAGAAGGGGGAAGACCTTCTGGCAGAGATCAAGGAAGCGCCGGATCTGGCCACGGTGGCGGCGGCCGGTGGACTCACCGTGGAGGACACCGGACTGTTTCCGCGCAGGCAGGCGGAGATCCCCGAGATCGGGTTCCTCCCGCTGCCCCTGGGACGGCTCACGGTGTCGAAGGAGAAACCGGTGGTGGAGACCGCCTACCTCCAGGACGACACGGTTTACGTCATGGTGCTGAGGAAGACCATCGAGGCCGATCCGGCCGGTCTGGCCAAGGAAAAGGAGGACCTGACTCGGCAGATAGGGGAGGAGAAGCGGCAACGCGCGTTCAGAAGGTTGATCGAGAACCTGAAGGCCAATGCCAAGATAGAGATCCATCCGGAATTCATCTGACGCGCCCTCGTTCCCATGCAGATTTTTCTGTTACGCCACGGTGAGACCCGCTGGAACCGGGAAGGCCGGTGCCAGGGGAGCTCGGACATCGAGCTCAACGAAATCGGCCACCGGCAGGCCAACGAGGTCGCCGCGCACCTGAGTCGCCGCCGTATCGATGCGGTCTATTCCAGCGACCTCCAGCGGGCCCGGCAAACCGCCGAGATCGTCGGCGGGCCCCACGACGTCGCCGTGAAGATAGAGCCCGACCTGCGTGAGCTCGACCACGGCGAGATGGAAGGCCTTACGTTCGTCGAGGTGAGGGAGAGGTTCGAGGGACTCATCGAGCAGTGGCGCTCGGAACCTGTGGCCGTGGACCTGCCGGGCGGAGAGCGGTTGCTCGACGTGGACCGCCGGGTCTGGTCCGCGCTCAATCGCATTGTCGGGAATCACGACGACGGAGACACCCTCATCGTGGTCAGCCACAGTTTCCCCATTCTTTCCGTATTGTGCCGGATCAGCCGGACCCCGCTGAACCAATATCGCACCTTTCACCTGAAACCCTGTGACTTCAGCCACGTGAGCTTCACGCGGTCAAAGGGCTGGGAGATCCGGCAGGCGGTGACCAACCCCTCAGAAATTTGCGAGTGACCGTGAAAAAGGAGAATCCCATGAGAATCGTTCACACCATGATCCGGGTCAAGGACCTGGACGAAAGCCTCAAATTCTACTGTGACGGATTGGGGATGGATGTCTTGAAGAAGAAGGACTACGAGTCCGGCCGCTTCACCAACACCTTCGTGGGTTACGGCTCCGAGGATGACACCGCCGTCATCGAGTTGACCTACAACTGGGACACGCACGAGTACGACGTCGGCGACGGCTTCGGCCATATCGCCATCGGCGTGCCGGACGTGTACGCCACCTGCGACGACCTGCGGAAGAAGGGGGTCAACATCACTCGTGATGCGGGTCCCATGAAGCATGGCGGCGGGGTCATCGCGTTCGTCGAGGATCCCAACGGCTACAAGATCGAGCTCACCACTCGGGCCGAGTAGGGCGGGAAGGAGTAGGGAGTAGGGCGAGTCGGGCCGCGTGGTGCCGGGGCCGAGCAGCGAGGGCGGCGTCCCGGAAATCAGAAGACGGTTCTGCCGGGGTCGTGGCGTTCTGCGTCGCGCGAAATGGGTGGTGGTCGGGATCGCGAATCACGTCCGCCCGCCGTCAACAGATTTCCGGGACGCCGCCCTCGCTGCTCTCAGCGCTCCCCGATTTTGCTACGGGACACTAAGGGGGAAACCATGAAGTTCGGGGTATGTCTGACCCATTACGGCCGGGAGACGGGGAGCGCCGAGCTCGTCGAGGCGGTGACCGAGATCGAGCGGCTGGGATTCGATTCCATCTGGGTCACCGACCACGTCGTGATCCCGGAGGGCGTCCGCGACGCGCAGTTGATCTACCGCGAGCATATGCTGGAGGCGTTCACCGTGTTCGGTTTTCTGGCGGCGGTATCCCACCGGGTGCAGCTCGGCAGCAGCATCATTGTCCTGGCCTATCGCAATCCCATCGTCATGGCCAAGATGCTTGCGAGCATTGACGTCCTCTCCGGCGGGCGGGTCATCTTCGGGGCCGCGGCCGGGTACATGGAGGGAGAATTCAACGCCCTGGGGGCGCGCTTCGAGGAGCGCGGTGACGTAAGCGACGAGTACCTGCGCGTCATCCGCGAGATCTGGACCCACGATCAGACCAGCTTCAGCGGCAGGTACTTCAACTTCGACAAGGTCTACACCTCGCCCAGACCGGTGCAGCAGCCGGGTCCGCCGATCTGGATCGGCGGCAGAAGCAAGCGCGCCATGCGGCGTGCCGTGGAGCTGGGCGACGGGTGGCATCCCATCGGCCTCAATGCCCAGGAAATGAAGGAAGGAAGAGCCTACATGGCCAGGCTGTGCGAGCGGCGGCAGATCGCCCGGGTTCCGGCCATGTCGCTCCGCGCCAACCTGCTCATCGAAGGCGTCTCGGAGCCGGTGGGGCCTTACGCGGGCCGGGCCGGCAACACGCCGTTGAACGGGAGCCCTTCATTGATCAGGGATCGCATCGCCGAGTTCGAGGAAGCCGGCGTGGAGCACCTCGTCCTGGACATGGCGACCCTGTCGCACCCGAGCTTCCTGCGCACCATCGAGGCCTTCGCCGCCCAGGTGAAACAGGGTGGATAGCACCTTGCCCATGCCCGCCTCCCCGTTACGGCCACGGATGTGGGGGCGGGTTTCAAACCCGCCCGTGCCCAGTTCCAGCACACCGTTACGCCAGGATGTAGGGGCGGGTTTCAAACCCGCCCGTGCCCAGTTCCGGCACACCGTTACGACCAAGGATGTAGGGGCGGGTTTCAAACCCGCCCGTGCCCAGTTCCAGCACACCGTTACGACCAAGGACGTAGGGGCGGGTTTCAAACCCGCCCGTGCCCAGTTCCGGCACACCGTTACGGCCAAGGATGTAGGGGCGGGTTTCAAACCCGCCCGTGCCAGTTCCAGCACACCGTTACGCCACGGAGTAGGGGCGGGTTTCAAACAGCCCGTGCCCAGTTCCACACGTTGCAGGAGAGGGGCGGGTCAAAACACGCCCGTTCGCACACGTAGCGGAGTAGGGGCGGGTTTCAAACCCGCCCGTGCCCAGTCCAGCACACCGTACGCCAGACGTAGGGGCGGGTTTCAAACCCGCCCGTGCCCAGTTCCACAGGCACACCGTTACGGCCAAGGACGTAGGGGCGGGTTTCAAACCCGCCCGTGCTCAGTTCCGGCACACCGTTACGGACCACGGATGTAGGGGCGGGTTTCAAACCCGCCCGTGCCCAGTTCCAGCACACCGTTACGACCAAGGATGTAGGGGCGGGTTTCAAACCCGCCCGTGCCCGGTGCCGGCACACCGTGCGGCCGACTAGAGGTTCAGCATCTCGCGGGAGGTGCGCTCCGTCCAGGAGCGGATCTCCGACGCGTTCGGTTGCTCGTCCACCACGGTGAGCGCCCTTTTGAGAGGCCCCGAGCCCGCCGCAATAGTCCGAGCCGAAGACGATGCCGCCGGACCCCATGACGTCGGTGAGGAACGGCAGCGCGCTGGGCTTGACGCTGGCCGTGTCGATGAGGAAGTGCTCCAGGAAGATGTCGGAGTAACGCTGGTCGCCGTCCGGCCCGCTGTGCTTCCAGGACATCCTCTGGACCAGCAGGGGGATGCCGCCGCCGCCGCTGCGTATCACCACCTTGAGGTTCGGGTGACGGTCGAAGACAGCCGCCGGCGATCATGCGCATGACGCACTCGTTCACGCTGGCGTCCGACAGCACACTATAAGCGACACCGGCGCCGCCGTCCTCCAGCCGCTGGAGCGTGGGGTCCTTGGCCCCCCCGCTGCCGTGAAGGAAGAGGGGAAGGCCCAGCTCGGACACCTTGGCGAAAACGGGATCGAGCTCCGGCAGGTCCACCTTCATCTCGCCGTCCACTCGCGGGTAGATGAGCACCGCCTTGAAGCCCCGGGAGGCCATGCGTTCGATCTCCTCCACCGACTCCTTTACGTTCTTGAGCGACAGGGCGGTGATACCCCCGAACCGGTCCGTATGCCCGGCGATGCGCTCGGCCAGCACGTTGTTGGACAGGCGCGCCATCTCCAAGGCGTCCCCCGTCTCAAGCTGGTCCGCGTCCTCGCTGGCTCCCTGACAGACGAGTTGAAAGTCGATCCCCGCCTGGTCCAACTCGGCCAGTCGCTTCTCGAAGTTGCCTGAATCATAAGCGTCAACCTTAGGTGCCTTGCCGGCCTTCTGCCGAAATGCGTCCACCACCTCCGGCGCCGTGTGGTGTGAATGCCAATCGATCAACATGGTTTCCTCCGTGATGCCGGTACGGCCGGCCGCGCGATATTCAGGCAGGCAGTATAGGACCCGATACCGAACCGGGTCAATGACCGGCATACGGGCCGTGAATTTGACTGGTTCAAGTGGTTGGGCTAATCGTTTGGAAACATCATGAAAGCCCTGTCCGCGCGTGGTCTGCATGCGCTCACGGGCAATTCGGGAGGAACTCTTCATGGCGACTGCTGTCATCGACGGTATCGAGATCTACTACGAAACCTACGGCTCCGGGACGCCCCTGCTGATGTTGGCGCCCGGAGGGTTCGATTCCACCATCGAGAAGTGGCGCGTGGCCAGCGCCTGGACCGGCATCGACGCCCTGGCCAAGCTGGCTTCGGAGCATCAGGTGATCGCCTACGATCGGCGGGAGTCGGGACAGTCCGGCGGGCGAGTGGAACGCCTCACCTGGACCACTTACGCCAGCGAAGGCAAACAGCTTCTGGACCATCTCGGGATCGATTCGGCCTTCGTCATGGGCGGCTGCATGGGCTGCTCGGTGGCGCTTTCCTTCGGCGTCAACTTTCCGGAGGCCACCCGCGGGATGATTCTCCACTGGCCGGTGGGTGGATACCGCTGGAAGTCGGCGAGCCAGGCTCGCTTCGCCAGACACCTGAGCTTCGTGCGGGAGAACGGTCTCCAGGGAGTCGTGGACCGAGCGGCCAAGGGGACGACTTTCTGGACCGACCCCGAGTCCGGCCCCTGGGCCTCGATCATCGCCCGGGACAGCGCCTTCGCCGAGCAGTTCGCGGCCGAAGACCCGGAGCGCTACATGGGTATCATCGCCACCAGCGGCCCGGACCTGTTCGACCGCGACACCGCCACCGGCGCCGACGCCGGAAGAGGTCATGGGGGTCAAGGCGCCGGCCGTGATCATGCCGGGCGACGATCCGTCCCACGCCACCTCGGGGGCCCACTACCTCCGCGAGTGCCTGCCCAACGGAGAATTCTGGAACGTCATGCCGCCGGACCAGACCACCGCGAACGTGTGCGAGCGGGCGCTGGAGTTCACCCGGGCTCACCGGTAGTACCAAGTGTCCTGTCCCCCAAATACGCTGATGAATCGGCTGGTCCTTTTTGCCGTCGGCTGCGTTGCTCCTCCCCGCGTGATGCCCGCCCTGGGGCGACCGCAGGTCGCCCCTACTCGTCATCGCGCCTTGCCGACAACAAAAATTCCTGCGCGTCTTCATCAACGTACTTGGGGGACACCACACTAGGGAACCGCACGCCATGGCACTGTTCCTCAAGGCTGAAGAGCTCGCCGGGCTCATCTCCATCACCGAGGCCGTCGACGCCGTCGAGAAGGGATTCGCCTCGCAGGTGGACCATCCCATCTTCAGCCTGCCGCGCCAGCGGATGCTGGCGAACGACCGGCGCATCACCGTTCATTCGGGTGGATGCGTGCCCCTCGGGGTGGCCGGTACCTTCGTTCACTACGAACGGCACAACTATACGGCCCAGGACCAGAGCTACGGCGCGGTGGGAACGCGGGTCTACGTTTGCTACGACAGCGAGACCGGCGCGCTGCTGGCGATCATCGCCGGCTGTCCGCCGTTTTACCGGAGGCAAGCCGCCGGGGACGAGTTCGCCACCGAGACCGCCATCACCAGCGCCGTCGGCACCCGGCGCATGGCCCGGGAGGACGCCAGCGTGCTGGGACTTGTCGGCACCGGCCGCCAGGCGCGGCGCCACGTCGAAGCCATGTGCGCCATCCGGCCCATCCGGGAGGTGCGCGTCTACAGCCGCAACGCCGACAACCGCCGCGCCTTCTGCGACACCATGCAGCCCCACGTGGACGCGGAGATCAAACCCGTGGAGCGGGCCGAGGACGCGGCCAGGAACGTGGACATCATCGTTTGCGCCACCGGCAGCAACCTGCCCGTGGTCTTCGGACGGTGGCTGGAGGAGGGGGTCCACGTCACCTCCATCGTGGGCAGCAACAAGGAGCTGCTGATGGAAGGGCTGGTGAGCCGGCCGCGGCGGGAGCTGGACGACGAGGTGCTGGCGCGGGCGGACGTGATCGTGGCGACCCTGGTGCAGCAGGGTATCCAGGACGAGCAGGGGGACCTGCTTGAGCCCGTCCAGAACGGAGTCCTCGCCTGGGACGACATCAAGGACCTGAGCGCACTGGTCACCGGGCAGATCCAGGGACGCCGGAACGACAAGGACAT